TTGGGCAACGATTTCAGTTTTGCCATGGAATTGTCACGTTCAATGCCGCAAAACGGTTTGAAATCAAACCGGTTCAAGGCCTGACCCTTAACTCAACTAAACCAAATTATTCTCAAAAATCAAAAGCTTTTAAATAGCTTCGGTCCCAAACATTGGATTTATCCAACCAATGCCAATTTTGGTTGGATATCAAATTTAGCCCGCACTTTTTGTATGAAAATATTTACGACTTTACTCATGGATGTGGAAAACCAGATTCACAAACCGAACTTCAAGGCAGGGGAGTTGTTTTTGTACCTTAAGCAAACCGCCGACAATTTATTAAATGTTTACCCTTTTCATGTTGTTCTTCCTGGGGAATTGTTGCATAGTATGAGGCGTTGAAAAGCATTTCGAATGCGTTCACGAGAAATCTAATCCAATCTAAGGTCATTTGAAAATATTTAATGTCTGAAGGCAGATTTTGGTTTTCACAAATGAATAAATTTTGGTTAACGAATCAAAAGCGAAAGGTTATCAAGTTAAATTATAAAATACTTAAATGATAAAACAGCTAAGCAAGGATACCCTGTTTATAAAAACGGAAAAAAAAGCAAAAAAAAAAAGAAAAAATATATGATAATGGGAAAAAGACGGAAAAAGAAAGAGGTTACATCAAAAGTATTTCAAAATCGATTGAGACAACGTTGCCTACACATACAGCTCTTACATGAGAATCGCAAAGAAGGGCGATCCGCATACGAGATGGAAATATGGGAGATCTAGGTCGAATGCATTTGCATGTTTCTCTTTAATTTTTGATCACTGTCTCTTGTTTCTTTTCATCTCTTTATTTCTCTCTCCTTCTATCATGCTCTCCATAGGTAATGATGTCCTTTTTTCTCTTTATCTCCCTCTCACTTTCTCTCTTTCACTTTCACTCTCTCTTCCGCACGATTTCTCTTTAACTCTCCCTCTTTAACTATTTCTCCCTCTCTTTCGTTTGATTGATCTTTCATTCCCTTCCTCCCTCTCTCTCTCTCTTTCTCTCTCTCTTTTTTTATTTGCAGTAATTTAATGTTGGGTACTGAGTATCTCATAATCAAGCACTTTTGTCTGAAGCATTCTTAGTTGGGTTTATTTTTAGCAGGTTATGCGGTGTTATGTTTATTCCCTTGTCCAATTAAACGCGTTTTGCTGCCCGCTAAAAATATAAAAACAACAAACTTTTTTGATTAAAATTTTTTTCTGAACTGGGCAAACGGGCCACAAGTTTCGGTGGGGCAACAAGTGGCGAGCTGTGACGCTGGCAGGCGATCAATTTGTGTGTGTGAGGGCTGGGGGCTGTAGGCGTGGCAAGTGCATAAGGCGCTAAGCAAAAAGTACGAAATAAATTACAATAACAATAAACTAAAGTGGCTGCCTAACGGCCACGTCCTGTCTCGCGTCAACAGTCCGCCTTTCCCGCCAGCGGGCGCAGCGGCTGTTTCAATTGCAACAACGCCTCAAGTTGTTTACTGGCAAAACTTTAACCAGAAAAATTACAACATCGCCGCAAATTATCTGCGCCAGTGTCGCAGCTTAAGCAGCAGCAACAGCAGCAACAAATTGGCATAATTTCAATGCGAAACTTATTCAAAGTCAATTGTTGGCAGGCGGCGCGGCGGCAGCAGCATCCAAAGTGCGGGTAGGCGCCATGCCACGCGTGCCTAAAACGCCCCAACACCCAAGCGCTTCAATTGCGCACACATTCGGCAACAACAACAACAACAACAACAACAGACACAAATGAGCATTTGAAGCATTTTCATGGAAAACTTTTTCTTTATCCACGTCCGCGTGTGCGCGTTTTATTTCACTTATATTTTTTTTTTTTTTGTAAACTGTTTTTCTTTTTCTCGCTAGCGCGGAAATCGTAATGAATAATTTTGCTTTTAACTGTTTGGGGAGCCCCGACAGCGGGGCACAAAATCTGAATCTCAATCCGTATCTGGTTCGGTTCGTCAACGTGGTAGCTGCGGCCGTTGGGTTCAGTTTTTGGCTTGGTTTGGCTTAACTCTGCTTTTGTTGACAACCTGACTCAGCGGCAGTGGCGTAGGCAGAAAGTGACAAATCAAAAGAGGGGGAAGTAATTCAAAACAAATATGTAAATACATTTCAAGTGAGACCTTGCATTGAGACAACCAAGCAACAAAGTTGTGAGGGCTTAAATCACGGCCTGCGGATATGTACGAATATGTAACGAGGTCTAAGGCGTAGTATGAATTAGACAGTTCAATTAAAAGCTGAGAGTGTATATATTTATATGGCTGATGAGAAATGGTTACTTCTAATAATAGGAAAAGTTATTTTTATCTTGTAATCCTTAAGTGCCTACATAGATATAAAATGTTTGAATGTTCATATTTAAACTCACCCAGGTCTTATCCAATGTCCACTTTTCGTCCCACCACTGGCCACATTTTGTCATCGTTGAGCATTAAAAGGAAATCAGCCTCCACAGTTGCTTTGTAAAGTGAAAATCTTGTTTTTCATTTGAAGAAACTGCAAAAAAGCAATCTAAGGAGTAAAACGCGCAATGCTAAAGCAATAAACACGGAAAGTAGTGGAAAATATACCGAAATGCATTAACGATTCGCGCTATTCCAATATGTGGCAAACCAAATATAAACACATATGAATGTATACGACATGAGCATGACCTATAAATAATAATAAACTTTAATTAAGTTACAATTTCTTAAAATGTTTACATTCAAGCTAAAATCGAATTTTAACAATAAAATAAACAACAGAGTGGCTTACAGCCAAGCATTGAGCTTTAAATGAAGGCTTAAAGAAATATTAAAGCTTTTGCTAAGCTTGTATCTCATTTCTTCTGACAAAAGCTTTGTGCGAGTATGGCAATTTGGACTTCAGCATATGAAAGCCTGCGTTAAATGAAACGCAACAGATTTTTATTAAGCTTAAATGTGCATTGGAAACATTTTGCTTTAGTAAAGTGAAGGATTAAAGATTCAAAAGTTCAGAAAGCTTTTGAAGCATTAGTCTGCAATAAAGTGAAGAATTACAGCAATATTAAAGCTTCAAAAGTAGCATGTATCCCATTGTGTTTACTGACAATCACTTAAAAAGCTTTTTATTAATGTGCTTTCATAGTGCTTGGCTAAGGTAAAGTGATGGATTAAAGCAATATTAAAGCTTTTAATATAACATGTTTTCCATCGTTTTTGTTGACAGAAGCTTAAAGCTCAAAAGCTTCACAGTAAGCTCCAATGTGCTTTCAAAAGCTTGGATGTTTTTTAATTTGTGGCACACTTGCTTGTATCTTTTATATTTATTTTTTAGTAGAGCATGCGTAGAGTGTATGCGGCCGAAACTGCTTATAGAAGAAGGCCAACAGTAGATGCGATTTGACCGCATAGTCAAAGCCATTTAAACCAGTTCACTTGCATGCAGCTACTCTGAAGCCTGCCTGGAGCCGGTTGGCCTGGCAACTATTTTGATGCTGTTACACCCATTGATGCAACAACAGGCAACTGGCAGCACTCAAAGGCGCGTTTCCGTGGCAATAAACGGCTTGCTTCCTTTTGGCATCAAGACTTGTTTTTGAGCCAGCGCCAGCGTCAATGCAACAGCTTCAGCTGGATATCTGATGTTGGCGCTGGGGCAGCTGTTGCGCTGATTTAGTTTCGTCTGCCCACTCGCACAGCGATTGCATAAGGCTTTTCATTTCGCTTTCCTTTTGGATACACGCACTCCGTTTCCTGACATGTTCATGGAGTCAACTCTTAATACATAGCTGGATTGGGTGAGCTAATTAGTTGCCAGGCAGACAGACAGACAGCCGGGCGGACAGCTAGCCAGCCAGCCAGTCAGCCGAGTGGCCGCCTTTTTTGGCCGCATACGCAATATGGCCAGCTAACTGGCCAACAGTAGTTGGCAACAAAAAGATAAAAACCCGACTATTCATCATGAAATACCATTTTATGATTATGAAATGACATCAAATTTAATGACAAACCAAACATTTGCACAATTTGATTTTCGCAATTGCAGCCTCCTCTCTCTATATAATTACACACAGTTCATAGGAATTTCGATATTGCCAATTTCACAGTTGTCGCATTAGTAAATCTGACTAATTTCCAATTTTCGCTCATCAAACAGAATCGCATCTGATTTTTCGGGGCTGGCAAATCGACATTTCAGTGTTGTTCGATTTGTGATATCATATTTTGACCAGTTTGTTAATAATTTTTTTTTTAATTTTGGAAAACGTTTGCCATAAATTCGGGCCACAAATTGTTTATTACCTTCATTTCGAGATTCAGTTTGTGACTCATGCCACCTTATTGGCCCAATTTTATGCAATTGGCTGCTAACTTGTATAAATTTGATGTGGCATTCAAATTAGGCAACTTCCTCCATTTAAGCTTCTGCTTGGAGAGAACACAGTCAAAGCTCTATAAAAGGGCTTATTTACATTTACTTTTAAGAAACTTGCTTGAATTACCTCAAATGTTATTTGCATAAAGTGCTAATTGGTAGAACGGTAATATTTTTCACTTTATATTTAAAGCCAGGATCAGATGCCCTTTAATACCTATCCCTCAGGCTTTAAGATATTTCAGCCGGTTTCTTACCACACAATAGAGTACCGACGGCTTGGAAGTAACTTTTTTTAATAAGAACTCTTTTTCAACAGACAATTTTGGATGGTTCGGTGCACGGTTCGAACCAATACGCTTACTTTATGGCTCGATTCGTTTTAATTTTTCGAAAATCGAAATTCTCGATATAAGTTAACTTTTCATAGTGTCTAGAAAATAGAAAGCTTTCGAATAATATTTAAAAATAACATTTTTTTTGCATCAAGTTCGCTTCAGTCTATTTTTAACACAACTAACATAGGATATATCCGAATTTCAAACCGATTAGCAGCCATTTGATGAAGCACAATATCGAATCATTCGTCTGTAATATTGAATGTCGCCTCTTCTACTTAGTTGTCACTTGTCAAACATGGAGAGTTGACGAATACTTTACATGTATTCAGAGTGTGTGCTCATACTCAATTTACTTGTATCCGACGTAGAGCTGCCCAACTCTAAGCCGGGGCAACAAAAGGCGCGCGGGTTGACAATTGTAAGCACAAACAAGAACAATTACAGGACGAACAACGTGCAGGATGTGAGTAGTTCGCCCAGAGAAAGGCAGAGACAATGAGAGAAAGGCAGACAGAGAAGGAGAGGGAGAGAGATTGAGTAAGTGAGTGAAAGAGAGAAGGAACAAGCCGATTGCTGTGTTGTGCTGTGGCAGCAGTTTTTAATCCTTGTTCTGTATGTGAGAAGCACCTTAATCTGTGCCATGTGCCTCATAAACAGGCGCAGGACGAACCACAGCTGCTGTAAAAGGCTTTTGTTATTTTTTAGTCAACGTTTGCACTGCTAATTATAACTGTTTTACACCGGTGCTGGCCCCAGCAGCAGATGCCCCCCCTATATGGCAGCTCGGCAGAAGCCTTCAGCGTGCGGCAACTGGCACACTTTATGTGACTCGTCCGCAAATTGGTGCCTTTCATTTGATGTAACATGGGCATTTGTGGACATCATTTGGCTGTTGCCGCATTCGTGCTGCAGGAATCACAGCTAAGTTTTACTGAAAGCCACTTGATTTTATTAGGAACGCTCATAAAGTTGTCGCCATCGTCGTCGTCGTCGCATGGCTGGGACTGGCTGGGGGTGTTGAATGTGCTCAGCAGTTTTTATAGTGCCAAACACCGAATGAATGTTAAATTTGCAATGCCTCTTGTGTAATAACACTCCGATATGCTGAAAGTGAAAGTGAACAGGTAAGAGTTGTCCAGTCGGCAGTGTGCGAATACATCCTCATAACCGATTAACGAATACGATTCTCATGCTCTTTGGAATTTCTGATATTTTTAAATACAGTGAAAGCTCTCCTAATGGACTCTACTTTGCGGCGGACTGAACTGCAAACCATTTTCTCTTAATATTTGTTGGAACAATTACGACTCTCCTGGACGGTTCTCCTTTAATTCCTATCAATTGTGAACAATTATTCCCTTAGCCCAACTTAAAAACCCTTTTCAAATTATTTGCAATATTTGTTACAGCTATGAATCAAAACATTCTCAGTTTAGAAATCTTTACTAAATATATTCTTTCAATCGTTGTATAAGAGTGGATATATTTAAGAGCTATACACATATACATATATTTAAATATCATAAAGGAATAGCTTTGTGTTTTCTTATATACATTCTTTTTTATATGTGGTAATTTTATATTTTTATAAGTATACATTTTTTAAGGCAATTCTTTTTCATTTCCCCCATGAAACGGAAACTCTTCACGAGAAGTGCCCAACGCTCGCTGTCCACCCAAGAGAGTTTTTACTGTATTGTATTAAATATATTGGTTTGGGCAACTTAACAACGAGGACGCGGGCTCGAAACTTCGGCTATAATAAAAGTAATATTAATCATAATAATAAAATAAAAATATTCAAAATAATAAAAATATAATAATAATAATAATAATAATAATAGTAATAATAAACGAAAAATAATTAAAATTCATCCTGATCAGAGAATAATAGTTGTGTTATCCAAACACACTTGATGCCTAGTTAGTTGTCTCTCAGAGTGTAGCTCGTTGATTTACCCACTCCCGAAAAACTAGAAAAATTCACTCGGTCATTTACCGCTCGATACTCTCGCTTCGAATTGAAAGCCACTCGAGCAGCAACCACTTCAAGTCCAGATACTCTTGTCTGTGCGCCATGGTCGTTTAGTTGGCTGTCACTGCAGTTCCCAATGGTCTTCAATTTTGTGGGGAGCAAAAAGAAATACAAAGTAAGTACACATGTCCTCAATGGTCACTTTAACTGCAATCGCTTCAGTTACAAGTTATAAATGATCACGTGTCATTTGCGGCTTTCCAAAGGTTGTCATTTCCCAAGGAAAATCCGCTGTTATTACGTTAATTCTTTATGCCAACCAACTGCATTTCCTCTCATTTTCGTTAAGCTTTTATGAACCTACAAAAAAACACGCACCCAAAACGAACCTAATTAAAGTTAAAATGCTTGGCGCATATATTCGGCTGAGCTATGCAGATAGAGAATAATAAATATAAACTGGGGAACGCAATAAATTCCAATGCAAATATGAAGCACAAGCTCATAAACTAGAAACAGACGTTAATGGCAAAAGCATTGTAGCTGGAGCCCGGGGCAAAAGAAAAGGGGTGCGGCGAGCCGAGCAGTAAATACTTAGGAGCAGCAGTTGGCGGCAGGAACAGAGCCACGACACGGAAGCTGTTGCACAAGGGTACAAAGAATGACAACAACAAAGCCTGCAACAGACAGCAATAAGCAGAGTGGGCGGTGCTTGGGTGGCTGGGTGGTTGGGTGATAGTGGGTGGGGGTGGGGAGAAAGCACACTGCATGCAGCTGGCGGGCAACAAGAGCGCTGCGCGTTGACCAAAGCCAGCTAAGCCAAGCGACTTCATGTTCTTGTTGTTGTAAAGTAGAATTTACATTTTGCGGCAGCTAAGTGAAAAACGAGAAAACTCAAAGCGCCGCCTGCCAGCACAACTGCTAATTGGTTGCAATTGCCGTTGCACTTCATGTGGCAACAAAGCAATGACAGAGCCGCTGACAATGGCCAAGGCCGCTAATGATAATCAGTCGATTATGGTCATGATTATGCTCGATATGGCAGCGGTTGCAGCAGTTGCAGCGGCAGCAAAACGCAAAGAAAAACAACAGCTGAGTAAACGTTGCTGCTGGCCAGGTGCTTGCACCCATGTTGCAAGTTGCAAGTTGCATGCGGCTTGTATGCTGCCAGCCTATAAATTGCAATGCCACCGCGCTGCCAATTTCACTCTCACTTTGTTAGCTAGCACGCGCAGCCAAACGGCAAACGGATCGTCTTTCAACGCACACGCCGCGTATACGTAATGTTTAATTGATTACAACTCGCGCCGCAAACAATACAAAATTTAATAAACTAACATAAAGCAAGACAATGTTTATATTTTTGTTAAGTTCCGTTCTGTTTTAAATCAGCGTGAATATATGCAGAAATACTGCAACTTTTTTTTTTTTTATCAGATAAAATAAAAACCTATTAAATAAACAAAGCGACTGCGTAACCAAAAAAAATGTCGCTCATAAAGGTGAATACATTATAGCTGCAACAGCAGAAAAAATATGGAAAATTATAATTTTTAGCAATAATAAATGCGCTATGATTAACTTGTGCTCAAGTTCATAAATGCAGCTAGCTGTTTTTATGGCAATCTGCATAAATTTAATGCTGACAATTTGCAGCAGGCGGCTTTTAACTAATTAGCCCAATAAAATACAAAAATCAACAAAAAATTTAATAGATGTAAATTAACTGAAAATGCAAATAAAATAAATGCAGCTCTTGTGGCGCATGCTGAATAATATAACTTAATGCCGCGCAGCATATTGAATTGCATTTATTAATAATATTTTAACAAATTGGTTTTTTTTTTCGCCACAAACTAACAAATTCGGGTTCAATCTTAATGCGAAGCATAAATAACAATTCTCAGATTCTTTAAATGGGATGTATATGATGTAGAAGTCGGTTGATGCTAAGATTTCATTAATATTTATGTTCGTTTCACTAATAAGTTGTTGATTGGAGTTCCTCCTCGTTGAGCGAGTATTGGAATAACATATCGTATATATAACATACTAGAAGTCCGATGTTTAGATGTCGACAATATGATCAAAGCAGCAGCTCGAGATGCAGTCCACGACGGATGAGTTGTTCAACCGACCCGAGTCATTTAGGCCATTGACTAGACTTAACTGACTACTATGGCAGCTTTTAACTATATGCATTACTACAATAATAACAATAACACCTTATAAATATATATAAGGTTTTAATCTTAAAGCTGACAGACTACAGACTACAGACGGATATGACTATAAGAAACATATGTTTTTGTTAAAGTCATGTATGCTAGCCTTACACATTTCGTTAAAAAAATAATAATTAACAACCAAAAAGAGTATAAGAAACTTCAAAAGTTGGAATCTTTCATCTTTGAGCTGTGTACCTCGTTTACACAGCAATAGGCAGGCGTTATATCGACTAGGCTCTTGATGCTGATCAGGAATATGCATATACTTTATGGAGTCGCAGTTGTTTCCTTCAATTCTAATACCCTGTAAGCTCAGCTGAGCTGTGTGCTTGCTACGCATCCGACGTTAAGCTGCCGTAGCTTGGATTTCAATTAATAGCCCTGGCAGAGGCAGCTCATTCCTTTTGGCAATGAATTGCTTTGGCTAATTAAATTTCCGCATTTCGTTATTTGAATTGATTGCTGCAAGCCATTGTCTTTCAGCCTTGCAACGATTTCTGCATCCACTTCCATTTGCTGAGCCGAAGATTGGCCATAAAGCACATCTGCCGCGGGGCATGCAACACAAACTTGAAACTGTGTTGGCAGCCAATTACAATTATAACTGCGCTTTGTTGTAGCTAAAACATTTCGAACTGTGATCAGGTTCGTTGCACGTGGCACAGAGCGAAGTGCCTGTGTGCAGCAGCAGCATAATTAATTGTTTTTAATTATGTTGTACAGTGCAATTATGATTGCAACTGGCAACTTGCAACTTGCAACTTGCAACTGCTGCAGCAACAACTGTAAAAACAAAAATTTGTTAAATCGTGTGCGCTGTCGCAATTAAATTAATAATTGCATTTATAAATCAATTTTATTAAATTATTATGTAATTACAATGCAAATACTGTGGGCAACACAAACACAATAATATGCAACATGAAACAATTTTAAATTAAATGTTGTTCGTCTCGTTTTGCAGTACATTAAAAATAAATATTAAAACTGACATTTTGCATGATGCACAGTTGACTAAATAAATGATAAAGTTATGCAAATTTAAATACAATATTAAAGCCAACATACGACTCACTCGCGCTCTCTCTCTCTTTCTCTCCCTCTCTCTCTCTCTGTCTGTGTCTCTGTCTTTTTGGCACGCCCAGCTTGCAGTGGTGCTCATGTGCTGCATTGTCGCTGGCATTGCCGCAGAGCTGGAAACCAAGCCAACGGATGCCCAAGCAGCCGCCGAAGCTGTTCTTACCACAAAACTAACGCCCAGCGTCGAGGAGCCAAAGAGCAAAACCGAGAAACGTGATTCCTCGGACCAAACAGGTAACGATTCACCTAAAGTCCCTAAAAACGACAAGTTCTAGTACCTTATGCTTTAATGCTCGCACACATTTACTTAGATTTTAGAAATTTCGCTCAGATGAAACGATTTTAATATATTGTTCGATGAGCTTAAACTCTACTTTAAGCATATGCTCAAATATCATATTAGATAAACTTTGAAAAGAAACTCAAATTTATTTACATTGAATACATTTTTAAATTTAAAACTTTTCCCATTTAAATAACTATAAAGTTTATTTTAAGTTTTTAAATAAATATTTATAAGTTCTCATTATACCCTGAACTCATTAAAAATGGGTAAAAAGGTAACTGTAGGTCCTCCTAGTCCCCGCGCAGATCGAGTTTGTTTCCGATATTCGATAACTTGCCCCGTTTCCAAGTAATCGATACAAATCGAAATCGAAATCCTGTTATTTGGGCCATTTCGGTAAATAATATGAGCTAGAGTCAGCAAACTTGACATGTAGCTTCTAGAATAGTATATACTTATATATTGAGTATCTTTAATTTTATACCTATCGCCTGTTGGAAGAAGAGGGTTCAGGGATTTTTAAATATGTATATAGCCCAGTTCTTAATAACTCTATTCGGAGTGTTAAATTGATTTGATATTTTCGTTCTTGATTATTCTATTGATTTTTTATTGTCTTGTCTTGTCGCCAGAAATTCACTTCAGAACAGTGAAAGCATAAGAGATGACTTCTTCTTCTCCCCCTGCCGCTGATACAAATTTGAACACAACCAATATACCCCTTACAATTGGTGCAGGGTATATAAAAAGTCTTTAAAATAAGAATAATACATACATATTTACATTGTTGGTATCATAAATCGTAAAAAGTATTTAAGTAAAATGTAATATTTTAATTAAATTGAATTTATTAATAATATATAACTTAATTAAACCGCGTTTCACGTTTTTATACCTGCAGCTTCGGGTTATATAAGCAAACCAGCCAAAGAAACGCCCTTCCGACCCATTTACCCATCCGCAGCATATTACGAGGCCGCAGATAGTGGTGCCATCTTTGGGCCCACCACGGTGCGTTATACGGCAGCCGATGCACCACCACAGGTATGCAGCAACAGTAGAAACAGCAGCAGCAGCAGCAGCCGCAAGAGAATTTAATTAACTCCAATTTCGCAGAGCTACTACGATAAACCGGAAAGCGGCAGCATTCGATATGTGCCGCCAACCGCTGTGGAGCAGAAGCATGCCTCTGCACTGGTTGGCCTGCCCGGGCCACTGCAATTTTTACAGCAGCAACCACAGCAACTGCAGCAGCAACAGCAGCAGCAGCATCTGCCCCCGCATCGATTCAGATTCGCAGTGCCACCGCAAGTGGAGCTCTATCAGCGACCGGCAGCCAAGTCGCCGGCATCGAACTCCGTTTACAGCTACATGGAGTCGGAGCCGAGCCTTTATGAACGCGCCGGTCCGCAGCAATATCAATTAGCAGCAACAGCAGCTGCACCGCAGCAGCAGATGCCGCTGCCCGGGCAGCGTGTTCAATATATTATAGCCATACCGCTTTCGTATATGCGGCAGCTGCAGCAGCAACTGGGCGCCGGGCTGCTGCCTGCGCCGCCCAGCACCGCCGCCAGCAGCACCAGCAGCAGCACAACGACAGCAGTGCCAGCAACAGCAGCCGCCGCAGCTAGTCATCCCCTTATGCAGGTATTCGGTCCGCTGGCTCGCGATCATCAGGGCATGTACAGGCCGTACTATCAGTCGGACTTGGTCGGCGCGCCGTCAGCTGTGCCCACTCCAGTGGCCACCTATGGCCAGCACTATCTGCAGATTCCCGCCAATGTGTTGCTCGCTGCCGCACAGCAACTGCAGCAGCAACAGCAACACCAGCAACATCAGCAACATCAGCAACATCATCAACATGAGCAACATCAGCAACAGCATCAAACTGTCTATCCTAAGGCTGCTCCAACGCCCGCTTCTGTCTATCAGCCGATCATTTATCAGACGCAGCCAAAGCTGCAGCCGCAGCCGCAGCTACATCTGCAGCGCGTTTATCAGCAGACCCCAACGATCTATGCTGAGCAGCCATCGGGTCAGCAAACCACTTTATATGGTATGTAAATAATATCTTTAAATGTTAACTTCGAGAAGAAGTCATAGGAGAGCGGATTCGAGCCAGAAATTTTATATTATATTTTTCTTTTTGATCCCAACAATTGGATTTATCTAACCATATTTGTTAGATGCCAATTTAATTTAGCACGCTATTTCTATTTGAAAATATCTGAAAATCTGAAATATCTTCAGTAGAACGGGCAACTATAAATGAAAAATAAGAAGTTTTTATGAAAGCTAAAAGCTCAAAAATTCTTGTAAATAATGAGACAACATTTATGTATTTCAAGAATTTCACTCTAGTCAACTGTATCATAACTTAGACTGCTTTACAGTTTGTTGCCAGTTTTTTATTAGAGTAGATGTGTAGAAAGATGAATAAAAACACAAACAACGGCAATAGTTCATAAATTGCAAACTCCAGTCGAACCAATGTGGTTGTTATCACTGTCAAATTGACTGCAATACGACAAATTCGAGAACTGAGCACACATGTTGCTGATGTGCTTAACATGACCTCGCTGCGGGCTGTAAGCACAACTGTACCGGAAAGTGGATCTGGCAATTAGTGTGCATTTCATGCAGCCTGGCAACGCTGGCGCTAACTTTGCCATTGGCAATGAGGGGCCCGACAAGTGTTGGTGCTGATGACAGCGTTAAGATGATTGGATAACATTTACTTCTATTTTGCAGCATATCCGCTACACCAGCAGCAACAGCAACAGCAGCAGCAGCAGCAACATCAGGCGCGACTATTGCGGCTGGGACTCAAGCAGGCAGAGCAGCAGCATAAATATGCGACCGTGCCGACAGCAGGAGCTCCTTCCGCTTCGGCACCAGCAACAACAGCAGCAACATCAACATTGGTGTTGCCCACGGCAGCGACACACGAACAGCAGCAGCAGCAGCAGCAACAGCACCAGCAACATCAGGCATTGCCGCTCGTCCACTACAATCCAATTTATGTGCAGGCACCAGCCGAACAGCAACATCATCAGCAGCAACATCAATTTGCAATATTGCCACGTTTTAGCAATAATAACCCAAAGGCCGCTTACAATCTAGCACATGAATCAACGCCACCAATTCATGTTGTCAGACTGACAGCAGCGAACGCATTGGGACAACAGCAGCCACAGCCGATACACCATTACCATACCTACCAGCCGGCGTTGCAACACCAACACCAACAGCAACAGCAATTCTATCAGAGCCATCCTGGGCCGCTGTCCAGCTATGCTGAGGAGCAACAGCACTCACAGAGTCCAGCCGTAATACCATATTTCAGCCATCCGGGCGCCGTACACTATGGCACGCACTTGTATCATCCGGCATCAGCAGCAACAGCAGCAGCAGTGAGCACTAAACAGCAGCAACAGCAGCAGCAGCGACTGGCGTCTGCAACAACCGCAACAAGTGGAAGGCTGGCAGGTGACAAAAGCCCGGGCGGTCTGGGGGTCAAGCAGGCAACAGCCGCCGCGAATATTGTCAAATATCCCTAAGCGCTGATGCAGACGACATCAAAGGCGGCAACAGCAGCAGCAGCAACAGCAGCAGCAGCAACAGCAACAGCAGCAGCTATCAAGTGCACGGCAGCAACATTTTGCTTCCGGCCATTTTGGTTTAGTGTGTATGTGTGTATGACATGTATGTAATGTGCGCATGTATGTGTGTGTGTGTGTTTTTTTCCATATTTCTGTTTGAGCTTTGCAGCTGCTGTTGTTGCTGCTTTTTCTCTTTGTTGCCGCACAGCTAATTATTTTGCATTATATTTCAGCTGCATAGTTTTTAATGTTTTTTTTACGCTCTTTTTTATGCTATTTTGTTATTATTATTATTATTTTTTTTTATTGTGTGCTATGTTTTGGTGCTGTGCAGCGTATAATTCACCACGGTTAATTAACTTAATATTTGTTTCAACTTTATTATTACCATTCGTTTTGCCAATTGTCGCTGTGGTTTTTGTGTGTAAATATTTGAAATTTAAAATATATACTGTGCTAGAAACTCACATATTTATCTATGACATTTCTTGTTATATTGTTGTTTTATTTAATAAATTGCAAATTTATTCGGTTTTTTTCCACATGCAACATAAATTGCTTCGAATCCCAATCACATATGCCCATTAGATCACAGATATGAGCTGGAAAAGCTTGATACATGCCGTTATCTGTTTTCCACCCATATTCCGACAGTGTGGGTGAATTGTGAAAAATGCTTAGAAAACAATATATTTATTAATTTGCTAATTATGTCACGAAATGTGTAAGGCGACGAAAAAAACCTCTTTGTCAACATCATGTCATAGTCTTAGCCAGGATCAAACATTGCACTGGGTCGTCTTTTTGTTATCGGAATCTTCCCAATCGGACGAACATATCTTAAAGCTGTTTACTATGTTCCTTGCACATGTTCCAAATCTTATCAGCAGCAAAGTACTATATTATATATTGACTTTCTTCTGTTTTTCATGATATGTTAACCAAGCCCCCAACCTGTCGAGAATTAAGCCTTGGTATCAGAACACTTCGCAGTCGTATGTCCAAAAGGTTATTTTCCGTAGCCTTACTTTCTTGTTTGAGTTCAATTAGCTTAAGGATTTTCGTTCGATGATTGAAAATCGCTTTTAACATTTAAATAACAATGATAATGCATTGGGCAATGACAGATCGTAAATCGCGCATTCATTAACCGACTTATGCGGGCTTTGGCCAGTGTATCGCTCCGCCCCTGGTTAACTGAACTGGTTAAGCGTGTTGTCATTTAATTGAAAACATTTGTGAAAATCTGATTAAGCTGAATGCATAAGCTCTGATTTCGTCATAAGCGGGATGTCAACCGCAGCGACAGCGGCGGCGGCTTCAATTAAAACTCTCGCATTTAATGAACGTCTATTAAGAACTAAAGCAGGTGGCATGTGGCGTGTGGCATGTTGGTGTTTGTGACAAAGCTTTTGCGCTCTCTTTTTTTTTTTAATATCCTGTAAATTCATTTAATAATGAGCTGCCGGATTATGTAATAAGCGCCTCAAAAGTCCACGGCTGGCCCTTTTCGTCGCTTCAGTGTCAGTCGGCAGGCTCATAAAAGTCACAGACCCGCAAATCCGTTGACATGCGCGCAAAACACAAAAAAAAAATGAGTAAAAAGGATAAAGGATAGTTATCTTTGGCTTTCCGAAATTAAAATACCCTTGCAGACATGAGCATTAATTGTGTCGCGTTGCCAAGCTGATAACAATTGAAATCTGTCAAAGGGTTTTTAACTTCTCCGAACAATCATTTTATTTATATTAAAGCCTGATTCCACTATGCCCAAAAATTGGTACATTTGCAAACTTCACATTTTGCGGTTCCATTGGCAAGTGTCCGTTGTCGGTAACATGTGAGTGGCAAAAGTACCGCTTCTTTAAATAAACAGCTAATCGATTTCATTCGATTTACCTAAGAGATGCAAAGTTTTCCGCCTCGAAGGAAGGCTCCATTTAATGGACTCTTCGCAAGGTTTGGCCATCTTAAAATGTTTAAAACTGAGGGATTACGAAATTTTATAAATCATCGCAAAAAATGTGTGTATTCGCCCCGAATAATTCTTTACAAAAGTACATGCTGTCCGCGCTGACATTTCGTGATATAATCATAATACCCGCTGCAAGGGTATTTTAGCGAAGCGGCGGTAGAGAGGCGATGGCTACGCTAGCGGCAACTGCATAAGATAAACAACTTCCGCTGGACGCCATTGGGTGACACTTGCATAAAATGCGCATTTCCGGTTGCAGCTGAAAATTAAAATGGCGGCACGCACGCACTCGCCATATCCACGGATACGGAACGCAGCCAGGCGGCGGCCATATTGGTAACTATTCGCTCGGACGGATTCGCCATATTTTTATACCCTGCAACCATTCACAATGGGCTGGGAGGGTATAACTAGATTTCTGTTGATATATGTAACATCCAAAAGAATGGCAATTTTTGAAAACAAATGTATTCCTGATCGGGCCTACAAGCTGGGTCGATATTTGCATGTCTGTCTGTCTGTCGTTAATTCATTCCGGTTTTGCTCAAAATCGAAAGCTATCGATTTCGCGTATAGATTGTTTACACACACTGTCTTAATGATTATAAAAACTGAATACATCGCGATTTATATCAATCGTACGATAAATTTAGATAATGTGCAGAGGAACTTACAAGCAGGGTATCGCCAAGTCGGCCACTCTTTTTGTGCACTGCGTGCTCGCATTTTGAATAAAGAAACGCCTCACTGTGCGCATATGTGCGCGTGTGTGTGTGTGTGTGTGTGTGTGTGTGTGTATTTCGTGGATTTTAACAAGCCTATTTAATTTGATTGTTGGCATTTTGCAGGCTTTATGCGATTGCCCTTTAACTCTTCGAGTTGACTTCATTTAGCAGGGTGAACATAGTGTAAGCGCCTTTGATAACCTGCAAAGAGAGACACATTCAAGGACATTTAGCACGCGTTTATCCCAAACAGAAGACACGCATTTTAATTAAATCAGTTCATTATTTACAATAGGAAATCACAACAAATGAAGCACACCCTGCTAAGTATCCACGAAAAAACTTAATAATTGTCAAAGTAAGACAGACTTTAAATAAGAGAGAGGAATATAATATTAAATTTTCTTTTTTTTTTATATAGAAATTTGTATTTGTTTTAAAGTTCTTTACAACGTTTACTAAAGCAGTAAAAATCAGTTATCAAAGTCGAAGCCGATCATTTTCTATAGATTTGAAAAGAGTACGAGTTACTAACTTGTGAAATCTGCTTGAAAATAATATTCTAAGCTGGTTTTAAAATCCATTAAGGAAATTGTCAATTGAATTAAGAAAGAAACTTAAATAATATTATTAATTTTGAGACATTGACTATTTAGTAAGCCAATTGAAGGCGAAATATATCTCATCAGAGTCATATTTCTGCAACATATCCGAAATGTGTAACGCACAGAAGCAGGCATATACAACCCTTTAAAGTCTTATATATATATATATATATATATATATATATATACGTTTGTTATGCAACTCTGTCCGTCTCCCAGTATTAAAGCCATCTTTATAAAACTAGGCATAGCTCCTTCCTTCTGTGGCAGGAAGCATATACGTCGGAATGGGCCTGATCGTACGTCTATATCTTATAGCAGCTACCTTAGGAATGATCGGCTGAGATTAAAGTTCTTGCGTGTACATACCTGCACCAGGGTTCTCATGCGCACAGGCAATGTCTTGACTGCCACAATGCCAATGGGCCGCTGGGAGCGCATTAGCATTAGCAAGAGGTTGCGACGGAACTGGACAGACTGATAGATCCAATTGCTGGCGTAGATCGCATGGGACATCTGCTCGCCCTCGTGGCTGACCTGCTCGGAGGCATAGCAAACGATGAGCGTTTCGATAATGATGGCCAGCAGCATAAAGAACAGATGCAACATCTTTAACGGGCTCATCTTCACGTAGAATGCGAAAAAGGATAGCGAGCACACCGAGGTAGCCGTACAGACGAACTGAATGAAGCAGGCAAAGGAGACGGAGCTCTCCATGGTCTTCAGCAATCTGTTAGAAACAGAGCAGATAACACACACGCACACACAAGTTGTCTGCTGTATAAAAGTACATACTGCAATATTGTCTTGTGATCCTCGATGCACGCAATCATCTGGGCGTGGGTCTGGGCCTCGGTCATCCATCTGTCATGGCCCAGCTTGGCGATGCGCAGGGCCAGCGCCTTGCAGTGTCCAGCGACCATGATGAGATAGGCCACCGGATAGGTATCATTGTTGAGAGCTATAAACGCCAATAAGAATAATGCAATATTCTGCAGGCATATTGTTGCCAGATAGACAAATCGGGAATGCTGCCAGTCCCACGGTATCCAGGCGGGGAAGGGCAATTGCTGGTCGGGTGCAAAGGCTACAAAGCAAGCAGCGCTTGATAAGGCCATTAAAAACAATCGCAATACCCATAGAAATATATTCCGTGACTGTCTGATCTTATACTGTATAATTCTACGCTCCTCGTCCGACTGCAGGCGTTCATCCAGCTGCCGCAATATACCATGCAGCTCCATCAAATGTCCACGCACCCGCAGCACATTGGCCAGCTTCAGTTGCTCCACAATGACAACGGCGGCCACATAGAAAGACTCACAGAACTCGGTCAGTGTCCGGCTCTTCAGGCAGCTGACATACAACGACAATGGTATGCAGATATTAGCGATCACATTGAACGCAATGCTATATGCCGTATAATGCCGTGCCCAAAACGAATCTCCCGTCGGCGGATGCAGGCCAAATAGGCGCCAAGCAATCCATTGATATGTAAAGGCGCGCGTCGAGTCCACGGTCAACATCTTGTCTGCGAGCACTTTTGGCTGTTCGGCGCTTGGCAGCTCCTTTTTATAGCGATCCAGAAGGACGACTGGTGATTTATGCAAATTGCCATCAAATTAGCCGGCGACATTCCATCGCCCATCTCTCACACCCCCCCCCCCCCCCCACCCTCCCCGTCGGCGACTAGTTAATGCAATC